CCCTACTGGGAGCTGCCCATCCCGAGTGCCACGGCCCGTATCCCACACGCAGGCTGCTGCCGGGGGGTGCTGGGCGCTGCCTCGCTCCTGCCTGGCCCCCCCCCCCAAAACGGCCCGGCGGGAAGGAGGGATGCTCCTGCCGTGGTCCCACACCATGGGGAAGGGCTCTCCTCCTGCAGCCCCAACGTGCCATCCTTAAGCGGCCACGGAGAAGGGCACAGCCGGTCGATGGGATTTGGCCGGGTCCTCTGTGTGCTTGGACATCCCTCTGCCTGTCCAGCCTTGCTGCTGGGTACGTGACCCCAGCATGTGCTGCAAGCCCCGCTCCCCATTCCAGCCCAGCGAAGCACCTGCTTTTCTGGCCAAACCAGACTCCAGCAGCCAGGTCGGGAGTCTGGGTGTGATGGTATGAGCACACGGTGTCCTTCCCTGAAGCTCCTGCCTGCTCACAGCTCAGTCTTGTCCTGCTCCCGGAGCCTGCCGGCACCCCCGAAAGTAGAGCAGGACGTGGGAAGGGAGAAGTCGTGGCTGAGCAGGGCTGGAGAGATGCAGCTCTACAAGGACATCCATCTCCTGCACTGTCCATTCCCGGGCCAAAGGGGCTGAGCTAGTGTGTAGCAAGGGGGCAGGGGCATAATAAGGGATGCAGGGAGGTTTCACAGAGGCCAGAAGTGTTTTCTCTAACTCTGTGTTTGTTTGTGCTCAGGTCAGAGCCTTCCCAGCCCCGGAGAGGTGCTTGCTGCCGAGGAGCTGCTTACTTTGGCCTCAGCTGAGAGGCCTCAGCCCAGGGTAAAGAAGCCCCAAACACTGCCCTGTTTGTGCTTCGGGAAGGGGCGTTTGTGGCTGTCCTGTCACGGTGGGAGCAGGCGAAAGAGCTGAAGGTTGTTTTCACCCCAGTGCCTGCCACAGGGGATTCTCCAAACAGGATCCCACCTCATCCAGATACGTGCAGAGCAGCAGGTAACCCCCACACTCCTGGTGTGCCTTTCAGGAGGGCCTCAGACTGAGCCACAGCACAGTGACATCTAAAATGTGCCACCTCCCAGCCCCATATCCCTGTACTTCCTCCGCAGGGTAGGAGCAGCTGCTCATGCTGTGCAGGTTCTCCATGCTGAGGGGTGATGCCAGCAGCTTCCAGGACAGGATGGAGCTGGACTAAGTTTTAGCTGCCCTACCTAAAAGCCCTTAGCCCCATCCTTTGCACAGAGCTGTGCGTGCCTCCATATGCACAAGTGGGTGCCCACAGGGACAGGGAGTTCTGCCAGCTCCTGTGATTGCTGGCATTGCCTTGATGCCCAGGGCCTGGGAACTTGAGATTTTAACAAAATGTCCTTCTCCTAAAGTCATGGAGTAAAGCTAGGACACACGAGGAAATCTGAGAGGGCAGTATGCCATTCCTGGTCCCCTGAGAAGTGCCACAGCCACCACGGAGGAGGGACACCCATGGGCACTGGCAGGGCAGTGCTATGCTCTTACTGGGAGTGGTGACAGCAGGTTTGGTGTGATTTGGCCCTGGGGTCTTGTGCATATCCATGATGCTCTGAGGACCAGGAAGAGCAGGCTGGGCTGGGGCAGAAGGCTGCTTCCATGTGGTCAGGTCCATCTGGAAACCCCAGTGGAAGGGGGAGAAAGAATATAGGTGAGGGGTACTCCTTGTGTCCCTTGAAGTCTCTGCTGTGGGCAACCAAAGTCCCCCTTGGAATCAGGGAGGGGTGGGAGCCTCCTCTGGTTGGTGACTGGCAGCACCCCTGAGCCATGCTGGGCAATGCCAGCCATGGTGGCAGCAAAGCAAAACCCTCCAGGAGCTGCCACAGCAGCAGCTGTAGTTCCCCATGGGATGCTCAGCCATTGGATAAGGGGATCACCCTGGCACTGGCTCCGCACCCTTGGCAGTGCTGACCCAGTGCCAAGACCCACAGGGCCCAGAGCCCACTTGGTGCCTGGGGGACCCAAATGCGCTCTGAGGAGGAGCAGCTGCCACTGCTGTGCTGGCCCTCTGTCCCCTGGGAGGGGACAGTGTGTGCTCAGCCACATGTGAATGCACTGCCCACGGTCCAAAGGGCAGCTGAGTCCTGCCCAGGTGGCCCAGACTTTGCCTGCAGATGAATGAGTCGTCTGCCTGCACAACAGGCAGGACCCACCACGGGACCTGCCACGTCACTGTCAGTCCCTGCTGGACAGAGGGGAACATGTGCTGTGGAGTCACTGCCCAGGTCATCTCTCAGCCCTCCTGGGACTATGTGGCCAGTGGAGCTCTCTTGGCAGGGACAAGTAGTAGCTAAGGTCAAGGATGCAAAAGCTGTTTGTGAGCGTCTTAATTCCCCCTCTGGGTTCCATGCCAAAACACCTCCCTCATCTCATGATTACGTGTTCTCAAGTGCCACTGGCCTCTGGAGAGGCTGTAAGATGGTGAATGCTTTGAGCCCCTGTGCTGAAATGCAGGAATGAGGAGCTGGATGCCATGGCAGTACCAGCTTTGGGTATGCTGAGGACTCGTTGGCTTGGCTGTCCCCTACCCTTTGCAAAAGGACCCCACTGGGGATTTGTTTAGTGTATGCTGGGCTCTGAATGTTTGAACACACTGCTAAATCTTTTTGGAAGGAAGGCTGGAAAAGGTGACAGGCTGGGACTGAAATAGCTGGGACTGATCTAGACCTCCACTGGAGATATTCGAATATCAAACTATCCCAGGCACTGCGCCCCCACTGCCAGCTTGGGGCTGCCTCCAGGTGTGTCTGATTCTCTGTGGGGTGGGACCATCACTTGTGCCGCAGAAATAGGCTTCAAAATAACTAAACGGCACAGTCTGCTACAGGTTTGAGCTTGCCTGGGACTGTGAGGATGCACATGGATCCTGCACCTCATCCTGTCCCTCGGGTAGGGCTCTTCCCCTGCATCCCTCCCATGTTGCTCCACAGGGGTGATCGTTCCACAGGGGTGACATAGCACAGTTATGGCTCTGGCTTCGTTTCTCTGCCAAGAAATCCCCCAGCCTCCCCCTCTGACCCTGGAGCTGAACCCTCCCTCTGCAGGAATGTTTTTTTCAAGGGGGGAAGTTGGCACAATTCCAGCTGCTGAGTTTTTCCATGTCCAGAGACTGTCTCCTGCCTTAAATGGCTCCATGGTACAGGCTGTGTCTGCTCTCCTGCAATCACCTATTTAAGGATTTTTTGGATTCAGTCCCCAGCACAAAGTGGGATGATACCAGCCCAGTGCCTTGCAGCTGAACTGAGCTCCATTGTGGGATACTGGAGCAGACGGGGCTGGTTGCCCTGGGGTACCCTGCAGGGGTATGCCTGGACATGGGCAGTCCAGTGCTGCTCCAGCTCTCCCAGGCCTCTTCTTTCCTTGTGTGCAGGTTAGATTCCCTGGATCAGGTCTGTGTTCTGGTCCCAGGGAATCCTGGGCCACCAGCAGTGTGTGAGCCAGGAGGTGCATCCCCTGTGCAGTGATGTCCTTGCTGTGGGCAGCCCGTGACACCGAGGGATGCTCCTGGGCCCCTCCGGCACAGCCCCTGCTCATGGCCTCACCACCCAGCCCCCTGAGCCCTCCTGTCCTTCACAGCATCTTCCATCACCCAGGAAACCTTCTTGCAAGCTCAGGTGAGTCCCTTACAGGCTCAGTGGAGGCCCCACTGTCTGTCCACGTGCTGCAGTGCTGGTGGTGCAGCCATGAGCCACACAGGTCTTTTATCTCAAGGCTGGACATTATGGGAGCACTAGAAGCTCCTGGTGGGGATGTCACTGGTATCAGTATCCAAGCTCCCTGTCCCAGGGCACAACCTGCCATATGGAGAGGATCCTGCCCCAGGATGCAAGCTGGAAATTTGCTGCAGACCCCATAGATGCATCCCCAGGTGGACGGCCCCTACTCAGGACAGAGAAGACCTAAATGCTGGTGAGTTGCCATTTTCCCTTGTGGCAGCATCTGAGGGACAGAGGGGACAGGGTGGGCAAGACTTGGGAGCTTACGAGGGAGAACAGGGACAATGGGAAGGGAGACAGTGGGAAGGAGCAGCCAGAGAAGGGGGAAACTTGTACCCTCCCAGACAATGAGCTGAGATGAGGAGGTGCAAAGGCTGCTGGAGAAACCCAGTAATGCTGCTCAAGGCTGGGCAGAGCATCCAGGAAATTGGGATGGGGTCTGAGGAGCCTGGGCTGGACTGGCATCTGCCAGGGCAAGGTTTAGGATTCACTGAGCAGAGGGAGAAGGATGTGACGACTGCTGTGGAACTCAGTTGAGTACCTGGGGTTGGAGAGGTGCGATGTGGCACACGTTTACAGGGGCGTGACCTCTGGAAGTCACAGTATGTGGGGTAGCTGTGAAACTGAGCTTCCTCAGTCCTGGCATTTCCAGTCTGCACGGATCAGGGAAGCCTCATGGCAAAACACCCTCCTCACTGCCCACTCTGGGCTCTGGGGAGAGGGACAAGCCAGCCCAGCCATGGCCCTGCCCAGCTCCAGGGCAGGGGGCAGCAGGGGCCTCTTCTGTAGGGGAACTGCATGAAGGCCAAAGTATCATGTAGTAAAGATGCTTTTGTTTTCTAATCTGCTTAAAAAAAAGTTTCCCAACCCTAGGAAACTGGATGTCAGCAGTGTGCTCTGCCAGCTGCAGCGTGCTCCAAGGTGGGCCAAGTCCAACCTTCAGCTGCCCAGGTAAGCTCAGCTCAGCCCTCAGCTGTATGTGGCATGCCCCTAAGGCTAAGACACAGGGAGAAAACCAAATGAAACCACTGCCTGTGGGATCCGAGCATGGGTTGGCATGGAAGCTGAAAGGTGAAAAATTCCAAAATTCAGGAGTGAGGAGTCTTACAGTGGCAAAACACTGAAAAATCCAACTTGCTGGAGGGCAAAAGCAATGTACCACTGGGGAGAGCTGGTGACCAGGGTGGTTGTGGCTGGAGCCACACACCAGGTCCCCCATCTCTCCATCAGCCTGAACCTCATATGGCAGCCGCTTCCTTCTCCTTGCAGCTCTGGGACACAGAGCAAGAGGTGTGAAGGGACCTGGAATTTCTTAACAGGGATTTTATTGTCTGCCCCGGGAATATTTTTGTTCTGTAAATGAGGAGGGGGATGGGGGTGAAACACTTTTATAGGAAGTGTAGCTGGAGAGAAATTTGGTGTGCACAGGTCAAAAAGAGGTTGTAACTCACTGCTTTAGCTGGTGCACTGCAAGAGGATCCTCCTCTCTGTGCTCACCTTCCCATTTGCCTGGTAGAGAAGCCTTTGTTCAAACCCTAACCCTCAGCCTGGAAACACTGTGATTTCACAGGAGGTATTCACCCCAGGAGCCCTTCCTGCCCTCTCCCCATGAGCCTCCAAGCAGGAGCCTATGTGCTTGGGAAGAGCAGTGTGATGTTGGGGCTGAGCACTTCTTCCTGCAACATGAGCTTGTCCTACTCTGGAACACAGGGAAGGAGGGTCCCTGGGCCCAGCCCTGCAAGACGTGCATGTTCCCTTGGGAACACGGGGGTCCCTGAGGAGTGACATTCCTGCTGTCAGCCACCCCTGCACTCGTCTCCCTGTTTTTAAATATCTGCCAAGGAGGGGATGGAGCCAGGTGGGAATTTAGTTTATTCTAGTAGTTGGGAGAAAGGGGAAGGGAAACAGCTGAGCCCGTGGCATTCCCTGTGTATGCTTGGCTGGCTTCTCATCTCTCATCCTCACCCCTTGGATCTAGTGGAGGTACTCCTGCTCCTGCAGAGGCTGTGCCGCTCTCCTGGCACATTCCTGGCACTGCTGACCTGTGGGATCACCTGCTTTGACCTTGGTTTGCATGTGGCCGTGGAGGGAACCCAGCACTAGGTTGCACTGGGTGCTTTCCCAGCCCTCGGGTGAGAGGGTGAAGAGGGCAGAGGAAGCTTCAGCCCACGCTGTCCTCCCAGAAATGAGGGCCAAAAAAAGCTTTACACCTCCATCATGAAGTTCTGCCGTTTCTCAGTTTCTGCAGTGAAATTTGCTTTTACTTTTCCCAGGGGGGCTCAGACAGCAGCTGTAGGGAAGAACCTGGGGGGACCAAGGCACCCACCACCTCTGTTCACCTCACTGGAAGCCCCTCGTCCCACACCACATTTCCATCATGTGATCAAGAGTTAATCTTGACTGTCTGTGTCTCAGCTGCCAGGAGCATTTGGACTTTCCCTGTTCTGCCAGCCCTGTCAGATGGCAGGAGAAGCTCCTCGGCTGCCGACCACATTTGTCTTCTCCAGCAGGCAGTGGCCTCTGCACTGGTGTCACAGCACTGAGCCGAGATGCTGCTGAAGGTTGTACCCAGAACACCTGCCAGCCGGGCTAGGAGGAGGTGGGTCCCTTCTTGAAGCCATTTTCCATCCATTCCCAAGCACTGGCTGTAGGAAATGGTGTTTTCTGCTATGCAGAGGCTTCGTGGTTCTGAAACAGGGCCGGGAGATGCTGAGGCTTCCCGCTGTACCCTGCCTAGGCATCCCTGCTGGAGCCCAGAGGGATCTCCTGTTTCTAGACAAAGTTGAAATTTCAATGAAGCCACATGAAATGAGCAAATCAAATACAAGTGTTTTCAAAAGTGGCATTCCCATCTCAATTAATTTTCTTCATTTTACTTAAAGTTTGGACTTTCAGTGTTTGAGCCAGGTGGAGGAGACCTGGACCTGGCTGTGCCCTCCACGAGCCACGCCAGGGGCTGTCCTAGGTGGTCCTGGCTGTGGCTCCATCCGTGCTTTTTGGAGCTGTGGCACTGTGCCACCTGTGCCGGATTTCAAGGCTCTTCCAGGCAGGACTGGGGCTGGCAGGAGATCTGAGCAGTCGCTCTCCTGCACCAGGTCACACGGCCCCTGCTGGATGTCACCGTGTCCCGCTGTCCCTCCCTGCCAGACGCTGCTCGGCGCCAGCCCACGTTAATTAACCCTAACGAGGCTCCGTGCACAGGCAGCGCTTCGGTGATCCGGGAATCTGCAGCTGGATCAGCTGGTCACTGTGACCGCGGCATGGCGTCCTTCGGGATTTTAAAGGAGTGGGAGCGGGAATCAGCGTCCATGCAGGGGGATGTCCGGGACCTACATTTGGGACCGCAGAGGCACAGCCCATGTATCAGAGACAGTTTGCTGAGTGATGAAAGAGCAATTATCAACTCAGCTGGAGGCAGAGTTGCTCCTGTTTGATTTTCCAAGGAAAATGATTCCAACCTCTTTCCCTGCCTCTGCCTCTCCCCCCCCCCCCACCCCCCCAGCTTGTTTCCTTTTGGTGAGAATCGCAGAAGAAATAAAAGAAATCGAGGAATTTTTAAAGTTTTACACTGGTTTGCTGGATTCTCTCCTGCAAGTGGTTAACGGTTCACCTAAAGTCAGAGGAAGGTCTCTGAAGCAATCTTGCAATTTACAACTTTTCCTTTACCAAGTAAGAAACAGTCAGGAAATTAAACAGGAAATTGTGTCTGGAAGGAACAAAAGTTGTGTTGTCAGAACCTGCTTATGAAAGATTTACTTTGTTTTAACCAGTAAGGAGCCAAGATCAATAGTCAGAATAGGAAGGAGTTTGTGTGAATTAAATCACACGTGGAAAAAAAAAACTAAACAAAAACCCAACACTTGGTAAAACAAGAAGCCTTTGTAAAGAGCAGATAGGGATGAATGGGAGAGAAGTCTTAGCCACTGCAGCAAACAAGTGCTGGAAAGTGCTAGAAGGAGAAGCCCAGTGCGTACCCCAGGATCAGGTGTCCCTCCAGAAGTCAAACACTGCTCCACGGCCTCAGTTCCCAAGTCTCTGGGAGATACTCCACAGCCAGTAGGACACACAGGGCCTGTTTAAGTGCAGTGGACAAGCACTGCCCCATCACTGCACAGGTAAAACAGCAGCATCTTCTCTCTCCTCCCACTCAGAAGGTGCCCCTTGAGTGGCCACCTCCAGCTCTCCCTACCCAGGGTACCAAGCACCACAACCTGGCTTTTATTCCCCATCAGCAGGGGGGTGTTCCCCACCCAGGGGTGCAGGGTGAGTAGTGGCTCAAATTCAGCCCTAGAAGGGCCAACTGTTTGTGGAAATACCACCAGCTTGCCTCACCCTGGGGTTTTCCGTGAGGAATTTGGCCAAGAGCAAGCCAAAAAACCTTGCTGCAAACATGCAGCGACTTTGAGAATCCTGTGCAAATACTTGCTCCCGGGTAACCCCACAGTCCATTGGGTTTGGGGTTAATTACAGGCTCTAGTTGGGAGATTGGGTGATCTGCAGTTGTTTTTACCATTACACTGCTCATCTTATCAGCGGCTGAGAAACAAGCTCAGCAAGCAGTGGTATGTGGGTGTGTCACAGGTGATGCACTGAAACCCCTTCTGGCTGACCCAGGCTCTTTTGGTTCATGCTTGGTGTGGGGACTGACTTGAGGGGGCTTTTCCTCCAGGATCCTGACCAGTCAGTGCCGTGGTTCCCCTGAAATGGTCTGTGCTCTGTGATGGCTCTTCAGCTGCCTTTGCTCTGAGCTGTGTGTGATCAATCTCCCGCTGGTAACGGGATCGTGGTGTGCAGGAGCTGTGCCGGGCAGAGCAGCCACATGGGCTGAGCAAGTGTGGCTTCACAGCCTTCTCCTCTGCTCGTGGGGAAAAGCTCCTGGAGATGAGGCTGGAGGAATTACAGTCCTGAGAGCACAGCAGAGGCTGACAATGGACATGGTCCCAGCCGCACGCCATGGCAGTGCTGACGGAAGTGCTCTGGCTGGAAGGTCTTGGCAAGGGGTTAATAAATGCTTACCATCCCTCCCAGCAGACAGCTAAGCAGTTGTTTGAATTTCCAATGCTTCATGGACAGATTTCTCTACTGCTCTGGTCCTGGCCATCCCCAACACGCAGAGTTTGTGGGATGGGGAAATACTCTGTGCCTGCTGGGTGAGGTGTCCACGGGTGAGTCCTCCAGCTGGAGGCAGGAGAGGTGTGCCCCTCATCTGGCACCTCCCTATGCCGACACTGCTCTCCCTCACAAGGGAAGGTGCCATAACTCTGGCAGCATCCACAACCAAGACAAGTTCTACACAGCTCCCTGGGGTCATGTCCAGGCAGGAGGCAGAGGGAGGCACCTGCAGCCGGAGCTCACATCGCCTTGCCCCCTCCAGCCCCGCAGGGAGAGCTGTGGCACTCCCTGGTGTGGTTATAGCAGCTGCTGGTGGGACATGCACCGCTGCTCCCACAGCTCGGGGAATTTCCCACCGCTGAGGCAGCTCCCTGTGACCAGCATGGAGGCGTGTCCCTGGGCACAGAGGATTTTCATGGCCCTGCTCTGGGTCCCTGGGGGAGCAGCTGGGCCTTCCCCAGTGTACCTCTGCTCATAACCCTCCCCCAGAGACCCCACACACAGCCTCAGATCCATGCCGTGCCATGTCAGCTCTGGCACCACAAAAGGCTGGAAAAACCCTCATGGCAAAGGTGCTGTCTCATGCCTCGCTGGTGCTGTGAAGTGGGTTCTCAGCATTTTTCAGGACTTGCCTCACTCCCATAACTATCTGGGCCCGCTCCCAGAGCAACAGGACCCATCCAGGTAGTAGAGGGAGCGGTGCTGGGACAGCTGGGCTCCCCACTGACCCACTGGGAGAGCTGCCAGCAGGCACTCGCTCTGGGGACATGGAGCAGGCACTGCCAGAGCCACCCTCCTGGCTGCCTTCATCTTGGTATAACCCCTACTGTGGCTCAGTGAGCCTGTTTTCCTCTGTGAGATGCCTGTGTTAAATCCCAAGGGTTTCTTTGAAATTTACCCATGACTCGCAGAGGAATTCCCCCTCCCAGCAGCTCAGAGCCAGGTTTCTCATTAGTGCATGTACATATCTCCAAGGCTGGTGTCAAGAGGTTGGTGCTGGACTTTTCAGTGGTGTCCATGACAGTACAAGGAGCAACGGCCATAAACTAAAACACAAGAAGTTCCACCTCAACATGAGGAAGAACTTCTTTCCATGGAAGGTGGCAGAGCACTGGAACAGGCTGCCAGGGAGGTTGTGGAGTCTCCCTCTCTGGAGACATTCCAAACCCACCTGGATGTGTCCCTGTGTCATCTGCTCCAGGTGACCCTGCCTTGGCAAGGGGGTTGGATTGGATGCTCTCCAGAGCTCTTTTCCAACTCCAATGATTCTGTGGTTCTGACTAAGCTGCAAGGTGTGGGGCAGAGGGCACTGCTTTGCACCCTGGCTCACAGCTGTGCTGTTATCCCCCCATTTTACAAACAGACATATCAGGGATGCAGCCCCCTCCTCAGGCACGGCAGGGCAGGCTGTCTCTGTCACAGGATGGTCTGTGGTTTGCTGGGAGGGGGATTAAAACCCCAGCCTGTGCGGGGATGGGGCACAAAGCTGGAGCTTCTCCCTCATCCCTTCTCCTCCATGCATTGCAATGCAGGCCTGTCTGCTGTCTGTGGCACCTGGAGCTCTTGGAAGGGCAAGGGATGCCGGGTGTTAACAAAAGCACAGAGTTACAGGGTGAAAAATCAGGAAAAGAACAGAGACTCTCCAGAGGTTTTCAGTGCTGACTCCAGTCACACCATCCCGCAGCTCGGCAGCCTCTCGCTGAGCCCTGCAGGCACCTGGGAAGGCTCTAAGGGCTGGGTGACGGGGCTGGAGCTGCTCTGGGGAAAACAGTATCTGTGACCCGGGAAGGCCCTGATCCCGCCTGGGTTGCCGTGAGTCACCCCCGCCCAGCAGGCAGAGCTGTCCTTCCTCGTTCAGAGTCCTGACATGTGCACGTTTCCAGCGTGGCATCCCCGTGACTAATCCACCTGCGCCTTCCCGGGCTCCCCGCGGGCGGGGAGAGCTCTGTGTCGCTGCTGTGTCGCTGCTGTGTCCTGCCTCGCTGCTCCCACCGCGTCTCCTGTCCTTGGGAACCCAACCCCCAGCTCTGTGTGAGCCGCAAGGATGGTGTTCCTGGCTCGGTGTAAAGCCCACCTCATGCCACACTGCAGATGGCCAGAATTAGGCTTGGTTACCTGCAAATGCCTGTTGTTTTTGATAATAACTGCTGTGTTTTTCTACCAGTTCACCCAAACGTGCCAGTGCCAGGGAAGGCTCCTCCCTTCTGTCCCACATCACCCTCAGACTGCTCTGTATTCCCTGAGCATCTCCCAGCAGCGCTCCCCAGCTGGCCCCTGGCTGTGCTCGGCTCCCCCTCACACAGTGGACATAAACATGCACCGAACCATCTTAATCGCCCCTCACACACGCGGAGGTGGAGCCCGACCCCGCTGCCCATCACGAGCCCCCTCAGGGCGCCCTCAAAATGGCGGCCGGGGCCGCGTACAGCCGCTCTCCTATGCGGAACTACAACTCCCGGCAGCCCTCGCGCGCCTCCCCCTGGAGGGGCCTCATCGCTTAGCAGACCGCAGAGAAGCCTGATCAAAATTTTAAACAAACAATTTAAAGATGCCGTGTCGGAGCGCCGTTGCTTAAAATATCTCTTGGAACGGAGGTAGTGACGGTTTTAGCGAGCCTCGCGGCCTCGGGTTTGGCCGCCAGCCGCCGTTTATCACTATGGCGATTTCCCTTTAACGGCTCTCCTGGCTCGGACACCTCACGGAGGGGGTCCTTGGAGGGGCAAGGGCACCGTC